CGCCGGCGCCAGCGCGAGTGGTGGTGGGGGGGAGGTTGGAACCCCCCCCCGGCGCCAGGGGTGGGGGTTTGAGCTGCCTCTGGTCATCGTCGCTGCGTCCCCGCCGTGGGCGCTGCTGGCGGCCGCGCCAGCGCCGGCGCCGGCGCCGAGGTGGGGGAGGGGGGGGGGTTTGAACCCCCCCTCCCTGGGAGGTGGGAGGGCGTGGGGGGTTCAAGAGGGGGGGGTTTGGGGGGGACGGGAGCCCCCCTGGTTTTGATCGACGGCGCCGAGTGTTGGGGGGCGGGGCCCAACACCCAGTTTGAAACGCGCCGCCGAACGTTCCCAAAGCAGGCGCCCGTGAAATGCGTTTTTTCAGATCTGGGTAGGTGGATTTCCGAGGCCTCTCCTGAAGCGAATCGTAGACGCCTGTGCCTCCAGCATTAAGGTGCAGCTCGCAGCATATCCAGAGTAGATTTGCAGGTCAGGTTTACAATCATTCGAGGAGTGTCGCATCTGTGTTACGCTCTGACGATGGGGCGACTTGGGTCCATGACAACGCAAAGCAGACAGGCTGCGTCTGGCATGGTGGTCACGATTTGAAGCGGGAGATCAACCTTCGTGCGAGGTTCGGTGTCTCCGCGTCCTTCCGCGCCAAGCACCGCGTGCTTGGCCAGCTGTGGCAGATGCGCAGGGGCCACTGGCGCGCCAACCAGACCGACGCACAGCACTGGCAGTTGGGATGCAACGGACTTCGAGCCTTTTCTGTTCTTGGTCGTAGAAGACTAGATCGTGAACTTGTTCCAGCTGAAGGCCCAGGACCGAGAGCAGTGGACCGTCGAACCTGAGTGCGCCATCCTTGCTTGATTTGGCGCCTCGTAGGAGCGCGCGGACGACGCGTGCTCGGCCGCCCTGCTTGTCGCGCGCCAGACGCCGCAACCGGCGATTACAGCCTCGCGCCCATCATGTCCTAGGGGCGGGCAGTCTTGGGTCACCGAGGGGAGGCTTGTCGGCGGGAGGGCCTGCTGCACGCATGGCTGGTCGTATAGTTGGCGGACATGGGAGCGCATGCTCAACTAGCGAGTCATCCTCGTCCTCCTCGGCTTCTTCTTGAGGAAGCTCATCTAGTTTGGATGATCTTGGGCCTGGGTTGAGCGATTATCGGTGCGAGTTCCATGGTCAGATCTCTCTGGTCTCATGGAGCGTGCGTTCGCTTGCCGGCTCTTCCTGGTCTGCCCCGTCTCCTCTCAAAGTTGGCCGCGATAGGCCTCGTCGTTGTGTTAACGAACCGCGGCGCGATTGTTTCGGGGGTCCCACGGCTCTCCCTGCGGCGGGGACACGCATTGTAAAGGTGCCTTGGGCCTCAATGGCACAGGTGTTTTATTTCATTGTTTTTTTTCTCACTTTCTCTTTCTTTTTTTTTGTTCTCTCTCTCTCTCTCTCTCTCTTTCTTTTTTTTTTTTTCTCTCTCTCTCTCTCTCTCTCTCTCTCTCTCTCTCTCTCCCTCTCTCTCTCTCTCTCTCTCTCTCTCTCTCTCCCATGCCCCCGCGGGAGGTTGCGCCATTTTTGTGGGCCCTGGCCCTCGCCGCGGTTTTGAGCGCGAGGAGCGCGGGGTCAATCCCTCGCGGCCGTGTTCGCGTGGTCGCGCTGAAGGCGAGGCAAGGTGCGCTCGCCATAGTCAATGCGCGCGCCGATCCCAGCCTAAGCGTTGATCATTAGAAACGAGCTTTGCGTCGAATCCGCCGTTCTCTTCCGCCGGCTGGACAAGCCGCCGCGGTTCCGGCAGTCGACTGGAAGTCCCCCGTGCGCGGGGCGGGGGCGTCTCGTCTGACCGAGCGATTGATCCGCCCAGGAATCTCGGAGCCGCGTTGCCCAAGGCCTCTTCTCGATTTTGCCGCAATCTAGCAGCCGCTGGCGACGCGAAGAGCTGCGCGCGATGAGCGCGTCGCTTCGGCGGGCCGTCTGTTTGTAATCCACGCGACAGCTTTCGCCGCCAAGTTCTGAGGCCGCCCCCCCAGCGGCGCCCTCTCGGCGGGCCCCTTCGATTGGGGGCACCCTTCCGACCAGGCGCATGTTTGCGTCGTCCAACGTCCAACTGGGCCTCCGAGATTTCCAAGGGCCGCAATGCGGCTCTCGAGGCATCGCGGGCCCCCGAGGGCGCCCGCGGAAATGCGCGACGAACGCCGCCCCTTCCATCGGGGGCCAGGGGGGGGCCCGGCCGGAGCTCGAAGACCTCGTCCAACCGACGGCCGCTGCCCCGAGGCAGCGCCCTGAATTGCGGGGGCCTCTTCCCCACCTGAGCGCTGCTCGGTCGCTGGCTGCGGCGAAAGCGCTCGCGGCTGGCTGGGGCGGGATCGGCGGGGGGGCTCGCGCGGCCTATGCCAGCGGCCCATCAGGGCGAGGGCCCGCGAGGTCGAGACTGACGACGAGCCGGCGCTCCGCCGGGAAGCCCGGCAGCGTTATCTCACCCGTTATGCTGCCGCGTGGAGCGCGAGAGGGGGCGTCGTCGGCCCGTCGGCAATCGAGGGCCCCGCTGGCCGCCGCGTCGCTGATCCTGGATGCGCTTGCGAGCATCTAGCCGACGCTGGGGCCGCGCGCGCGGGGGGGGGGGGTCGCGAGTGGCGAGCGCGAGCAGCGGCGCCCGTTCGCGCCCGGACCGCCGAACAATGCCAATCGAGTCGCGGGGCCTGACGAACTCGAGGAGACGGTCTGTAAAACTAAGGATGCCGGCGTCGGGCCCGTCGGGGCCCCCTGCGGCGCGTCTTCGAAGGCGGGCCATGGGGCGATTGGAGTTCGATGCCGGGTCAATCTCGTTTTTTCTCTGGGGTAATCTTGGATCTCCGTTTTTTAATTTGGCCCCCCCGGGCCCCCCGGCGAAGGGCGATGCCCCTTGAGTGCCGCGGCGGATCAGCGGCCCCCCGGGTGCGCCGGTCCGCTTGGCCGGCGGCGACAGCGAGCTCGCATCCGAAGCTTCAGACAACCCGATGGCTTATATTTTCCAGGCGCGTTGCGATCAAGTCCGGATGGGATTCGCCCCGGAACGCCGGGCGACCGAGAATCCGATCCAGCTCGAAGGGTCCGTGCTCCACTGGGCCGCCCAGCACTATTCTCTGCGCGGTGGACTTTTCGCTGTTCGACTTTAAGGCCGCCTTCCAGTCGCTGCTGCGCCCGCGAATTTTCTGGCTGCCTGATATCTTGGAACGGTACTTTCCGCGCGATGAATGCCATCAAGCTGCGACGCCACAAAAATCGTGTCCAAGTTGTTATTGTGGGCCTTGCGGGAGTGTGGATTGCTTGGGAACCGGCTTCCATTGCCTACTGGAGTGCGCGCTGCGTTTGCGGGCGACCTCGGCATCGGCGCGGCCGTTCGGGCGCTGGCGTTTCGATATTCATGCCGGTGCTGATGGTGGCGGAGAGATTTGCCGGTTTGGCCCCGAAGTGTGTTGCCGCGGTAATTCGCGGACTCAGTCGGGAAGGAGTAGATCGGTTGCTGCTCGAGCACTGACTAGCGTTGCCGACCATTGTCGTTGGGAGCGGCAGGGAAGCATCTTGGGATACGGGCTGTGAAGGACTCTGATGGAGCTTAGCTGGGAGGCGCCAGGGAGACTGCAAGCATGCGGAGCTAGAGCTGCTCAAATCCATCCTGGAGTGCAAAGTGCACGCGTCCACCTGCCTCAGTTATGTCGCCCAGTCTTTCTGCCCGTCCAAGTATGCGCTGCACAAAGAAGAGCTCTCCAGAGCCTTGCAGATATTCTAAGGAGCTTGCTCTCCGGCGAGCTGTTGCGCGACTTAAAGAGCGAATGTCTCGGTGCTCAGGCGCGCCATCCGCGTTGCACGGCGAGGGCTGCCATGTAGTGGGCCGCCCTCCAATGAGAAGCTTTCTACGATGCTTGTGCGTTGGTTGACGCGTATGAGGGCGACGGTGAGCGCGTGCTTCCTGGGGAACATATCCCGCGGCGCACTCAGAACATGGTCTTCCATATGCGGGAGAATCTTAGGAGGCCCCAGCTGTTCGCGAACGCGCCCCCCCCCCAGCCCCCCCCCCCCCCCTCGGCGCCAGCGAGCCCAAGTGGGAAGCTGATCCGATCCTTCGCGGCTCGACAAAAGCGCTGTTTCTAAGTGAACTCGGCGCGCGAGCTGAACACTCTGATCCAGCCCACGGTAGAACGCTCTTGACGAGGCGTCAGCCTCGCATCCCCAATGCGTGATGTCCAGTCTGAGTCGGTCCGACTGCGACGGCTGATGCACGCTTGCGTTCGCTGGCTCGGTTGAATTGCGTCTACCGCAAGCCGGCCATCGGGGGTGATTTTCATCGTGCATGAAATATCCTGCCGCGCCTGCCTTCGCACTTGTTCCCTGCTTCCTCTGCTGCCCCCCCTCGTTCCACTCCGCCTCCGGATGCGCCCGCGCGGCCTTCATCCAGCTGCTGCCTCTCCACATCTCCAAATCAGCGTTTGTCGCAACCCTGCGCGATAGCATGCGTAGCGTGCGCCGTCCTTTTCGCCACCAGGGAGGTCTGCAAGGAGGGCAGATCATCGCAGCAGCATCGGCTCGGCTCGGTTCGCGGCAAGCTCGCCCTTGCTCGCTCTCTGCGGGAGGCATGACGGACGGTTCCTCATCTTTTCTCGTCTCCTGTTCGTGGCCTCCCTTTCTGTTCTTCTGGGTCAGTGTGTTCCTCTCCCTGCTCGTCCTCCTGCTCCTCTCTTCCCCCCCCCCACCCCCTCCTCCCCATCCCCACTTTATACTTCCTCCTCCCTCCTCCCTCCCTCAGGCCCGAGCCGTAGCCGCAGCCATCTTGCACCGCTCTTGGCAGGCTATGCCGGCTAGGGCCCATGTGCGCCGGCCGCTTCGACTCGCCCCCAGCGCAGCTGCGGGGCGAGCTGCGGGCCAGCTGCGTGCCCACGAGATGTTCCAGACGGCGCCGTCGCAACTGCCGTCTGAGGCCAGAGCTCTGCGCCGCGGCGCGGAGGCTCGGCCATGCTGCCCGTGTGCACCGTCCGCCTCGCATGGCCGACGTTTCGGCTCTAGCGGCTGCCGCTGCTGCTCATCGGCTTGCTGGTCGACGAGATGATCATCGGGATGTCACGCCCGTGCCGGTGCAAGTGCGGGCCGCTGCCGCCGTCGGCGCTCCTGCGCACGGCGATGCTACTGAGGTTGCAGACGCCGCTCCGACATGGTGTCTCGTTACCACCATTTTCGTCGTGGTTGCCTTTTTGGACTGCGCCGACGAGCGCGGACAGCTTGCTCGAGAAACTCGGCGTCGGGATACCGCGCGTGGAGGTGGGCGCCCGCAGGGTTCCCGGACGCCCCGCTTGCGCCTCAGCGTGGGCCGACGTCGACAACGTGAAGGTCGAGAGCGCGGAGGCCAGTGCGCGGATGCGGCCGCGGTCCGTGTTCCCATGTTGCGGCGCGCCGAGGGCGACGATATCAAGGCCGACCGCATCTGTTACGGTCCTGGGTGCGGCGGCGCTGGCACCCGGACGGCTGGCAGCCACGGCGCGTTGGCCGCCGCGCCTCCGGTGGGGCCTCTGCACGGGCCCTTGCTGCTGATGCCGCGCCGCAGCGCCAGGGTGAGCCGCGCGTGCCAGAGGCCGCGGAGGCCGAGCGCCAGGTCGCAGCTGAGGCACAGGCCACTGCCGTTGTCGTGTCCTTAGATGCCACGCGCCAGGCGATGGCATGCTGGACTGCGTGGCCCAGACGCCGCGCCGCCTCTGCGCGCTAATTAGCAGGCCGAGGCCGAGGCTGATCGCCAGGCAGCAGCCGAGTTCCATGCCGCCGAGCGCCAGGCCGCAGAGCGCCAGGCGGACTCCGAGCGGCTCGTGGAGGCAGCGCCGGACGCGCAGGTTCAAGTTCCTCCTGCTGTCGACACGGCCCCGGTGTTGCCGTCAGCCGTACTTCGACCTGAAGCTCTTCTACCGCCGACGACTCCTCCGAAGCTGCGGCGTGAGCAGCCCGGGCGGCCGTCGGCGATGAGGAGGGTGCACCGATCGGCGCCTGTCGACATGGACCTTCAGGATGCCGGAGGTCCACTCGTGATAGCGGGCAGACTGACGGCAGCAGGGATGCGTCTCCCCATGTGGGAGAGGGCCCCTGCCCTTCGTAGCTTTTGGCGGCGCGTGTCACATGATCGCGCTACCGCCGCTGGGGCCGCGTCGGTGCCAAGCAAGACCCAGGACATGTCAGCTGAGCTTCTCCAGTGCGTGGCCATCGCGACGCCCGCCGAGCTGCTCCAAGGCGATACCGCCGAGGCGCGCGCCGAGCTGCTCCAGAGCGAGGCACTTGAATCGTAGCCGCCACCAGAATGCAGTGGTAGACGGTTCGCACGTGGAGGCCGTTGGGAGGAGAGGAGGAAGGAGGCCACGTCACACTAGAACGAGCCAACATACCCCTTTCTCGTCTAGCTTGAAGTTAATCGCCTGTTTTTCCTCCGCCGCTTTCGGTCGTCCGCGTCGCGAGGGTCCGAAGATTTTTCCTCGTCTCGCTCAGGTACGACTCTAGGCTGTCGTGTAACTTGCGAATAAATTCACTCGTGCTCACAGGAGTCCTGGCGCTCGCAGCCATTATTCGTTCACGCTCTGCAGTCACGAGCCGGTTTGCGGTACGAGCGCGTGAGATGCCAGCCCAGCGAGTTTTCTACATTGTAGTTCAGCGACGCCGCCCCAGGAGTAGCGCTGTTTAGGAGGAGGTTGGTCGGGTCTGGGGAGTGTCGTTCTTAATTCCTGCCCCTCCTCCCTCCACGAGCGACATGTGTGCACAATCTCAACATGTTGTCAGTTGTTTCCTTTTTGCGCCCGTCAAGTTTGGCAGCACCGATCCTCCCCAATTCCTGCCGGGGCGCTCTGATAACTGCGCGTTGTGTGGCCCTCGTTGGTTGTTACTCGTGATGGGTGCGGGTACGAAGATAGGTCTTCTCCACCGCCGTCCGACCCGGCTGCACATATCCTTGTGCGGTGGTGCTTCCACGCGGCCTCATTGAATTGCTGAGCTGCATGTCTGTGTCCCAGCACTACTCCTTGTCGCCTCGGTTTTATCCCCTCCCTCTCTATCGCATGTCCCCTCCCCCTCTCGAGCGGCCGAGTGCCCACGACACGGTAGTCAATGTTGTGCGGGCACGATGCCGGCCCAGCCGCTGGATGTGATAAGGGGGTGTTTCGGTGGGGTGGCTGGATGGATGGCTGGGGGAGGGGATTATGGACTTAGCCGGTGCCACGAGAACAGACGGTGTTCGGTCCGCGTCCCAGCCTCCTCCCCCCTCTCGCAGTCTTGTGCTAACTTCCCTCCCTCCCGCTCCCCTCCTCCTGAGTAGCTTAGGTTGGCGCACCAAACAATTTGTTGCCTCCTTCAGCGTTTGCAGTCCAGTTGCCCATTATGGAGGGTGGGGGTGTATGTGAGGATTGGGAGGGTCTGGACTTCTGGCTTCGGGTCGACGAGTTCCGTCCGCTCTATTGCGCGGGGTCCCTTCCTGCTGTACTGAACTTACGTTCTTGGTGCCCTTGCACATATATATATGTATATGATTGATAGTAAAGCGTGAGCCGAGCTTGTTGTATTCTGCTGGTCGCAGTGCCCCATGTGCTGACAGGCATTGGCTTCATCAGCGTCGCAATCCAAAATCCTCCCTCCCTCCTTACTCCGCTGCTGCAACAACCGGGCGCCCCTCCCTCTCCTTCCTGCCAAACGATGGCGGGGCGTTGCCGTTGGGGACGGGGTAGGTGCAGCTGGTGGAGACCTACGCGGTGGAGAACACCTTCGTTTTGCACGCGGAGACCTTTCTTAGTGGCGGGGCGGGGGAGGTCCACTCCCGCTTCCGGATCTTTTCTCCAGACAACCTCGGAAAACGTGCGACAAGCTCTCAGATTTAGAGTCTGTCTACGTACCGTGCTTGTGCCCTCAATTTGTTGAGGGTTCGGGGAGGTTGCCAAGCATCTGGGCCCTTCCCCTTGAGCGTCACCTCCACCCTCCCCCATCCCGTGTCCCCACCCCCCCTCCGCGGTCCCCCCCACCGCATGCACGGACAGACCGCGCGCATGACTAAACGGGCCAGAACAGGAAGAGGAACAGAGACAACACGCGCGTCCGGAATTGTCTCCCCCAACGCTCACCACCCATCACCACACACTGCCGCCTCGCACCGCCCCACCACCCGCCCCCCGCCACCCGCCCCCACCGGCCACGACCGACGACTCACCACAAAAACACCCACCACACCTCACCAACCACCGTCCACCGTCCAACCACCACCCACCACCCGCCAAACATCTTATACCACCCGCCATCACCCACCACCACCAACCTCTCACCACCCACCACCATCAACCATCCACCCACCACCACCGCCCACCACCAAACCGCACACCTCCCTCCACTCACCATTTACAAACCGCCCGCCAACACCCATGGCCCGCCACCCACCACCCAGCACCACTCGGCGCGTTCGTCCTCTGATCCTCCATGATCCTGCTGAACGTCCGCGCGGTGCCACCATGAGGTGCATGCTCTGTGAGGCTCACCTGCGCAGTGAGGCCCGACAGGCTCGGAGGCAGAGCGGGAAGGTGGCCCTGGAAAGTACCGCCGAGCCTCCGTGCTAGCGTTTTAGATCCGGATTCCAGGACTCCAGAACCCCTCTCTCTGCGGCTCGCTCTCTCGCTGGCGTTTTGCGCGTGTCTCCACCGCGGGATCTGGACCCTCACCCGACGAAAGGGGGGATGGGGGCGAGCAACTCGCTCTTACGCTCGTACCTACTAGATCCGCAATGGAGCATTTTGTTGCGTCCGATTCAGCGCGCGCATTGGTTCTATGTGTCCCTTACTCCTCTCTGACTCTCTCTCTCTCTATCTCTCTCTCTCTCTCTCTCGCTCGTTCCCGCCCACTGGCTGCCGTTGTGATGCCGTTGTGTGTGTGTGTGTGAGTGTGCGTGCGTGTGTGTGTGTGTGTGAGTGTGTGTGTGTGTGCGTTCGTACGTGCGTGCGTGCGTGCGTGCGTGCGTGCGTGCGTGTGCGCGTGTGCGCGTGTGATTTGTGCTTCTGGCCGATTGGGTCAAAAGTTTTGTGCACACAGTGCTGCTACCCGCTCTCCACGCGGCGTTCTTCAGTGCAGCTGCTGGTGGCTGACTGCTGCGGCAGCAACGCCGCTCCTGCCCTCGTGAGGCAGAGGGGAGGAGCGACGAGAGTGGGCCAGGGAGGCGAGGGACGAGGCCCCCCCCGCCTCGCCCCCTCTGACACCCTCGTCGCTGTGACGAAATCATCACGACGGAGGGGCCTCCGGGGGCTCTCCGCGGGGCCCGGGGCCTTCGGCAGGACGCGTCGAGGATGAGACGCCGACCCCGGGGACAGGGGGTGCAAGACCTCGTGGGAGCCCCGCTGCGAGCCAAGTCGCGACGGGATGGCCCGGGAGAGGCCGGGGATGGAGAGCGAGAGCGAGCCCGGGCCCCCGACGACTCGACGCCTCCGAGCCGCCGGACCCTGCGCCGCTCGGCCGCGTGCACCGCGCGGCTGGCTTCGCGTCCTGGGCTGCCTGCGGATGGCCCGGATTCTGGGAGCGGCCCGCCCCCGGGACGCCATGCGTCTGGGGGACGGAGCTCTCGCGCGCGACTCCTCCTGCTCGAGCCGCCTGCAGGTCTGGGCCCGGAGCCCGGGATCGGCTCCCGCGTGCGCCCTGGGGTGCGTTCTGACCAGAGCTCTCGACGCTCGCGCACGCGGAGGCTGGAAACACAGGTGCGGGCCGTGGCCGGCTGTGTCGCGTGGCTTCTGAGCTTCCGGCAGGATTCCGTGCGTCGGGCCGCGCCAGACCAGAACATGATCGGCCCACGAACCCGGAAAGGAATACGGAAATGTAAGACGTGGCAACGTTTCAAAGACGCCTGATTGAGCGACGGGCACATGCAATGCTGAGTGTATCGATCTTGATGTACCGTGCCGAGGGCTGTGCTGTGCTGCGCCGTGCTGAATTGCGATGTGCCATGCCGCGATTGTGCTCTATAGCGTTGTGGGTCGAGTCCTCCTTTGCATCCGAGTCCTGACCGAACTGATCTGGATCTTAAGCTCGAGCTGCCTGAGCACATCGTAGCTGTGGCATGCTAATTAGGGAGACGCGCCGCGGAAAGTTCCAAGGGACGCGCCAGGCGACGTGCCAGGGGACGTGCCATGGGGACGCACCGCGGGACGTGCCAAGAAGACGCGCTGCGGAACGTGCCCATGGACGTGCCACGGGACGTGCCAGGGGACGCGCCGCGCGACGTGCCAGGGGGACTCGCCACAGGACGCGCCACGGAACGTGCCAAGGAACGTGACGGGTTGCAATGCTGAGCGAGTGTATCGATCTTGATGTACCGTGCCGAGGGCTGTGCTGTGCTACGTCGTGCTGAACTGCGATGTGCCATGCCGCGATTGTGCTCTATAGCGTTGTGGATCGAGTCCTCCTTTGCATCCGAGTTCTGACCGAACTCATCTGGATCTTAAGCTCGAGCTGCCTGAGCACATAGTTTTCATAGTAGCTGCCCCGGAGCTAACTGACAGGGGAACATGTCAGGAAGACGCGCCGCGGAACGTTCCAAGGGACGCGCCAGGCGACGTGCCAGGGGACGTGCCACGGGGACGCACCGCGGGACGTGCCAAGGGGACACGCTACAGAACGTGCTGGGGACAAGCGTCGTGTTGGTGGCCTGGACACGTAAAAACACGTGGTGCCAGCTCGGTACAATCATGTTAGATACCCCCCTTGGGTGGCCTGGACATGTAAAAACACGCGGTTCCAGCTCGGGACAATCATGATAGAGATCTCCTTGGGTGGCCAGGGCATGAAAAAAGCACGTGGTTCCAGCTCGGGACAGCCACGTTCGATACCCCCCTGCGTGACCTGGATACGCTGCATTCGCGCTCCCGCTCGAGACATCCTCGCATTGTCTTCCCTGGAGAGGCCCCCAAAGCGCAAAGCACGAAAACATAACTCTTCTGTATTGGGACATCTGCTCGGATAGCGCTTTTCGGCCCCCCGTGCGTTTTATGATAATTCAGCGTTGGGCCCGACGCCATGTTGGATACCCCCCTGGGCGGCCTGGACACTTGAAAACACGTGGTTCCCGTTCGGGACAATCATGTTAGATACCCGACTGGGTGGCCTGAACACGTAACAAAAACATGGTGCCAGCTCTGGGCAACCATGCTGGATACACCCCTGGGTGGCCTGGACACGTTAAAACACGTGGTCTGTTCGGGACAACCATGTTAGATACCCCCTTGGGCGGCCTGGACACGTAAAAACGTGGGTGCCAGTTCTAGGCAACCATGTCAGATACAACCCTGGGTAGCCTGGACATGTTAAAACACGTGGTCCTTGCTCGGGACAGCCATGTTAGATGCTGCCCCTGGGTGGCCTGGACACCTGAAAGCACGTGGTGCCAGCTCGGGACCACCATGTTAGATACACCCCTGAGTGGCCTGAACACGTTGAAACACGTGGTCCTTGGTCGGGACAATCATGTTGGAGACCCCCCTGGGGACAACCATGTTAGATACCTCCCTGCGTGGCCTGGATACGCTGAATTCGCGCTCCCACTCGAGACATCCTCGCACTGTCTTCCCTGGAGAGGCCCCCAAAGCGCCCCCCCCCCCGTCCTGAGCAAGAAAACATCATTGGGATGTGTTTTCGGGTATCGCAAAAACACGTGGTTCCAGTTCGGGTTCGGGACAATCATGTTAGATACCTCCGTGGGCGGCCTGGACACAGGACCCCTATGTTAGATACCCTCCCTGGGTGGCCTGGACACTTGAAAACACAGGGTTCCAGCGCAAAACCACCATGTTAGATACCCCTCATGGGTGGCCTGAACATGTAAAAACATGTGTTTCCAGCTCGGGACCACCATGTTAGATACACCCCTGGGGGGGCTGCACACGTGAAAACAAATGATTCCAGCTCGGGATTACCATGTTAGATACCCCCCTGATGGCCTGCACACGTAAAAACTCACGGTTCCAGCCCACCCAGGGGGGATATCCAACATGCAGTCGTTTGAGGTGCTAGCGACGGACAACCATGTCGGATACCCCCTTAGCCGACCTGGGCACGTGAAAACAAGCATTTCGCCTGAGACATCCTTTGAATTTTGGCCCCCCACGAGGCCCCCGCTCGAGACACCCCCCAATTCTGCAAAACCAGCGTTTCGCTTGAGACATCCTCAACAATTTCTGAACAACAAGCGTTTCGCTTGAGACATCCTCAAGTTTCAATCCGCCGGCCCACTTCGACTTCGATAATTGTCAGGAAAAGAATCCGCCGGCCCACCTCAGTCATGGCACCGGGGACAGTTTACATTAAATGAGAACCCTGGGCCCGCGCCCTCTCTGGGAAAAAGGGCAGTGCAAACCCTCTGAGAAGCCATCGGCTTGTAATTCATTCCCAGGGCCCCGCACTTTGTGGTTGTCGTTGCCTTCTGCTTCTTCCGTAGCAGACGTCGCCGGACCGATTGGGGGCTCATTGGGGCTGGCGGTCTTTCTTTTGTAGTCGCGCCAGCGCGATTTTTTCATTAACCATTCTGTCCATAGTGATTCCAGCCCTTCGTAATTCCAGCCTCCCCGTATCCCCACCAGCCCATCCAAACGCAATCACCAGGCGAGTTGCCCTGAGCAGGGATGCGTAGCAGCATGCAGTCACGTTCTGGGTGCCTATTGGACGCATCTTGGAGCCATCGTGGGACCCTGCTGGGGTCCCCTTGGGGCCTTCCGGGGCCAATTTTGAATCGTTGTCTTACGCCCAAAGTGCTGGTGTGATTTCGGTGGCACTCCGGGAGGCACCAAAGAGGACGCGGAGCGTCCGAAAGCCTCGACCCTCGCGATCCGCAGTCGACTATCTCAGGCCACCCGGGGGGCCACCGGCGGGCGAGGATCAGGGGACCCATCGGATGCGGAAATCGGGGCAGGGCGTCCGCCATCGCAAATATACACAAACATGATCGACCCACGAGCCCGGAAAGGAATATAGAAATGTAAAGCATTGCAACATTTCAAAGACACCTGATTGGGCGACGGGCACATGCAATGCTGAATGTATCGATGATGATGTACTGTGCCGAGGGCTGTGCCGTGCTACGCCGTGCTGAACTGCGATGTGCCATGCCGCGATTGTGCTCTAAGCTCGAGCTGCCTGAGCAGATGGTAGCTGCCCCAGAACTAATCGACAGAGGGAACATGCCAGGAGGACGCGCCGCGGAACGTCCCAAGGGACGCGCCAGGCGACGTGCCAGGGGACGTGCCATGGGGACGCACCGCGGGACGTGCCAAGGGGACGCGCTACGGAACGTGCCAATGGACGTGCCGAGGGACGTGCCAGGGGACGCGCCGCGCGACGTGCCAGGTGGACTCGCCGCGGAACGCGCCAAGGAACGTGCCCAGGCGCATAGTTGAGTGTATCGATCTTGATGTACCGTGCCGACGGCTGTGCTGTGCTGGGCCGTGCTGAACTGCGATGTGCCATGCCGCGATTATGCTCTATATAGCGTTGTGGATCGAGTCCTCCCTGGCATCCGAGTCCTCACCGAACTGATCTGGATCGTAAGCTCAAGCTGCCTGAGCAGATGGTAGCTGCCCCAGAACTAGTCGACAGAGGGAACATGCCAAGAGGACGCGCCGCGGAACGTCCCAAGGGACGCGCCAGGCGACGTGCCAGGGGACGTGCCATGGGCACGCACCGCGGGACGTGCCAAGGGGACGCGCTACGGAACGTGCCAATGGACGTGCACCGCGCGACGTGCCAGGGGGACTCGCCACGGGACGCTCCGCGGAACGTGCCAGGCAACATGCCAGGCTGCAATGCTAAGGGTATCGATATTGATGTACCGTGCCGAGGGCTGTGCTGTGCCTGGGCGACCTGGACACGTGAAAACACACGTTTCGCTCAAGACGTTGTCAGCACATCCTCATGCTAGGCATCCGCCTGGGCAACCTGGACACTTGCAAACAAGCGTCTCGCTCGAGACATCCTCAACAAATGCTCATGCTAGACATCCGCCTGGGCGACCTGGAAAAGTGAAAACAAGCCTCTGGTTCGAGACATCCTCAACAATCCTCATGCTAGACATCTGTCTGGGCCACCTGGAGGCGTGAAACCAAGCGTCTCGCTCGAGACATCCTCAAGACCTGAGCACGTGAAAACAAGCAATCCACTTGAGAGATCCTCAGAATTCAAGTCCCCAGGAGACGACAATACATAACACAAAACAAGCGTTTCGCTCGAGACATCCTCAACAAATTCTGAACAGCAAGCGTTTCGCTCGAGACATCCTCAAATTTGTATTCGCCGGCCCTACTCCCGCACGTAATTTATCGCAGAATAATTTCGCCGGCCCTACAGCCGTCGAAACCGGGGGGGAACCAACTAAAAGAGAACCCTGGGCTCGAGCCCTTTCCGGGAAAAACACCCCTCCGTGAACCGTTCCTGGGCCTCAGGGGGGGAAGCGGCGGTGCAGTAATCGCCACGGAGAGCCAGCGATTTGACACGCCGCCGCCCGCCCTGAAGGCGCAGCGAGTGATCGTCGGCAGGCGTCCGCGCGCGGAGATCCAGGGAGCCGCGGGAGCGGGGGGCGAGGGCAGGAAGCCGCGGCCAAGACCTGGACGCGGCCCAGCGCAGCAACCCGTACGGGAGGCCCCTCCCGAGGGGGGGGGGGGTTCGGGGGGGCGCGGAGGGGGCGCACGGCGGCTGGATCATTATCGTTGCCGCTGTGGTCGACGTCATCATGGCATCGCGCCCGCACGAGTCACCGACCCGCACTGGCGAGCGCCACCCTGGCGGGCCAGGGCCAGCCCGGCGCCTTCGCGCTAGGACGATGACGTCGGCGAAGTCGTTGTCGTCATCTTCGTCGTCGTCCCCAGGAATCCCCCGTCGTGGTTTTCCACGACGTGGCTCCCCAGGGGTCGGGACCCTTGCCCCCGGACCGGCTTTTCATCCCGAGTCGTTTTGTTGACAGTCCTGGGGACCGTTGAGGGCCCTTGGAGGCCGAAAATTGTAAACAGGCTTCTGTCGCGATGTTTTCACGACGTGAGGGTGGTGTCGGGGGGTCTTCCCTTCCCCGCGGGCGCACCGCGAGTGGCCACAAGCCCGCCGTGCCGGAGCTTGCGCAGGCCCAGACCCCTGGAGGTCTCGACCCCTTCCTTCGCGGGCTAATTTCTCACGTCCCGAGGGCCTCGGGGCCAGGAAGCTGGCTTCTCTAGAGGCCCATGGCGCCCGAGCACTCACAGGTCATTGGATATTAGATTTTCTCAATCGCGATCGGCAGCGACCGATCGGCACTCTCAATCTGCCCCTCCCGTTTTGGAAGCAGATCGGTCGTGGCCGCTGCCAGAACTCGAAGCAGAACCGGCAGCGAGCGATCTCGGCGGGTCGCGACCAGGACGCCCCCCGATCGAAAGGACTATAAAGCCTGCTCGGACTATATCAAGCGCAGGTAGCTTTCGCCCTCCAGGGGCATCCAGTGATCGGGGCTGGCCGCCACGACCTGCCCAGCGCCGCCCGGCCGCGCTGCCCAGCGCCCTCGTGCAGCGCTGGGCGCGCCGAGCCCGGCGGGGCCCCACGGTGCGAAGGCGGGCGCGGCAGCCACGGTCCCGCCCCGCGCGTGGGCCTCGCATGCCGGCGGAGCAGCTGCGGCGTCGCGCGAGAGGGTGGGCGTGGCTCGGGAGGGGACAGAAGCACACAGACACAAGTAATCGTCGACCCCCAGGAAAGTATGGGGAAATGTGGGAAGTGGGGGGGAAGGCAAAAACCCAGAAAATATAGGGAAAGATGGGGGATCTTTTTATTTGTGGGTATTTCTCTTTGTGTGTCCCAGGGCCCCTTCAGTGACGCACGCCTGTACAGGCCTGCGCACGCCGCCCGAGCCCTCGCGGCTGGAGCTTCGGCCTGGGCTTCGCCGGGGGCGCGTCAGTGCTGGCGCGGCGGCGACCCCCGCGCAGATGTTTGCAAGGTTGAGCGCCGCCGGCCTGGAGCTGCGGCGACATCAGAGCCCGATACCCCCGCCGATCCACGATTCAGGCCACTCGATGGGCGGCCGTGATGCGGTTCGGAGTTCGGCGAGCACGTGGCGAAATCCGAGCCCTGCCCGATCCAGGAGAATCGAGGGTTGGCGGGGGTCCGTTGGTCGCCGCCTAGTGGGACCTTGGAGCCGGCTGGGGGTCTGAGGTGGCCCAGCACTGGTCCGCAGCAGGAAGGGGGGGGCAGGTGCGATGTGCTGGGTTGGATAAAGATTTGGTAATCGTTCGTTCCCCAGGGGCCGTTTTCGTGCCCCACGATCGTCACAAACGGATTCAGCGATTCAGCGTGAAAAGCTACACCAGTTGGACCCTGGGAGGGGTCTGGGGACCGATTTCGAGCGGATGTGCCTCCATCCCCCCCTCTTGACCAATTATCTCGGGGTCCAACCAGCTCAGACCCCCCGGCCGCCTCCAACCGCCAGTGGCCTGGAACCGTCTTCGATGTCGAATGATCTGCTGAGATGACCGCGGCGGCTGGTTAAGGGGACCGGGTGATTAGGAGTGGATGCTAAGGTGCTACGGTCGGTTGCACATGGGGCCCCACATTGCTTATGAGTCATCTAACCCCCCTGAACCACTTAGGGCACCTGCAACCCACTTATGAACCAGGTTGGGCCAGATATGTTCCACCTTAGCATCCAGTTCTATCCCCCCTGTCCCCGGCATTGGTGCATTGGTCATCGGCTGTCGTCGCGGCGCGAGCCTGCCGCAAGTGCGCGCGTTCCGCCTCGCTCGCGTGCGCCGCCAGAGATCGTTGGTGTGTGCGGGCGCGTGGACCGAACTGCTTCGTGCCCAGGCAGAGGGTCCGAGGCGGAGATCTGTGCCAACCGCCGCCTGGGGGATCGGTCTTCGGGGGCCTCAGCGGGCGGTGGGCCCGCGGGGGCCAAGTTGTATCCGTACCCACCGCCCGCCGAGGTCTCCAAAGACCGGGCCGCCAGGCGTTGGGTATGGGTAACATGATGGACCCACGAACCCGGAAAGGGATATATAGAACCGCATGCATGGAAACGTTTTCACGACACCGTTTTGGGCGACGGGCACTTCCACGAGACACCCCGCGAAACATTCCACGAGACACGGGCGACCGTTTTCAACGTTTTCCTGGAAACATTCCACGAGACACCCCGCGAAACAGTCCACCAGGCAACCACTCAACCAAGGCGGTGTGGTCGTGCTGGGGAGTGGTCGTGCTGGGGTGTGGTCGTGCTAGGGGGTGGTCGTGCTGGGGGGTGGTCGCTGGGAAGGGTAGTCGTGCTGGTGCGTGGTCGTGCTGGGGTGGGGTCGTGCTGGGGCGTGGTCGTGCTGGTGCGTTGTCGTGCTGGGGTTTGGTCGTGCTGGGGTGGGGTCGTGCTGGGGTGTGGTCGTGCTGGGGTGTGGTCGTGCTGCGCGCGGGGCGCTTTTCCGCGTCGCGGTCGGCTCTGCAAAACCAGCGTTTCGCTCGAGACATCCTCAACAAATTCTGAAAGCAAGCGTTTCGTTCGAGACATCCCCAACTTTGCAAAACCAGCGTCTCGCTCGAGACATCCTCATCAAATTACAAAACGATCGACCCACGAACCCGGAAAGGAATGTAGAACTGTAACACATGGCAGCGTTTTCAAAGACATCTGGTTGGGTGACGGGCAAATGCAATTCTGAAGGTATCGATCTTGATGTACTTTGCCGAGGGCTGTGCTGTGCTGCACCGTGCTGAACTGCGATGTGCCATGGCGCGATGTTGCTCTATAGCCTCGTGGATCGAGTCATCCTGTGCATCCGAGTCCTGACCGAACTGATCTGGATCTTAAGCTCGAGCTGTCTGAACACATAGTAGCTGCCCCAGAGCTAGTTGACAGGGGAACATGCAAGGAGGACACGCCGCGAAACGTCCAAAGGGATGCGCCAGGCGACGTGCCAGGGGACGTGCCATGGGGTCGCACCGCGGGACGTGCCAAAAGGACGCGCTACGGAACGGGCCAATGGATGTGCCACGGGATGTGCCAGGGGACGCGCTACGCGACGTGCCAGGGGGGCTCGCCACGGGACGCGCCACGGAACGTGCCAAGGAGCGTGCCAGGTTGCAATGATGATTGTATCGATCTTGATGTACCCTGCCGAGGGCTGTGCTGTGCTGCACCGTGCTGAATTGCGATGTGCCATGGCGCGATTTTGCTCTATAGCCTCGTGGATCGAGTTCTCCTTTGCATCCGAGTCCTGTCCGAACTGATCTGGGTCTAAGCTCGAGCTGCCTGAACACATAGTAGCTGCCCCAGAGCTAATGGACAGGGTGACATGCCAGGAGATCGCGCCGCGGAACGTCTCAAGGGACGCGCCAAGCGACGTGCCAAGGGACGTGCCATGGGGTCGCACCGCGGGACGTGCCAAGGGGACGCGCTACGGAACGTGCTGGGGAAAAGCGTTTCGCCCGAGACATCCAGTCAAAATCCAAGGAAATCCTGGCAAAACAAACGAAGTAGTCAAGACATCCTCGAAATTCCTGCGCGCGGGACGCGGCACGCGCGAGACATTCTCGGAATTCCTGCGAGCGGGACGTGAAAACAAGCATTTTGCCTCAGACATCCTCTGAATTCTGGCCCCCTACGAGGCCCCCGCTCGAGACACCCCCCAAGTTTGCAAAACCAGTGTTTCGCTCGAGACATCCTCAACAAATTATGAACATTTTGCAAAACCAGCGTTTCGCTCGAGACATCCTCAACAAATTCTGAAAACAAGCGTTTCGCTCGAGACATCCCCAACTCTGCAAAACCAGCGTTTCGCTCGAGACATCCTCAACAAATTCTGAAAAACAAGCGTTTCGCTACACTACACCCGCGCTCCCAGGGCCACGATCCCTCGTAAATTACGCTACGTCAGCGCTCCCAGGGCCACGATCCCTAGTAAGGGCTCCTGGGCCCTCCTGGGTCTTCCTTGGACCTCTTGGGCCCTCCTGGGCTCTCCTGGAGCCTCCTGGAGCTTCTCCTGGGCCCTCCTTGGGCCCCCTGGTGCCTCTTGGAGCCTCCTGGGTCCTCCTGGGCCCTCCTGGGCTCTCCTGGGCCCTCCTGGGCTCTCCTGGGCTCTCCTGGAGCCTCCTGGGCCCTCCTGGGCGAAGTCAAGGTCCGAAAACACATGGGACTTGCCACATTTCTGAAATTCGGTGCCACCCCTCACGCAGGTCGGCGGGGTCAGGATCCGAAAACACAAGGGATTTGCCACATTTTTGGAATTCCGTGCCACCCCTCACGCAGATCGGCGGGGTCAGGGTCCAAAAACACAGGGGATTTGCCACATTTCTGGAATTCCGCGCCACCCCTCACGCAGATCGGCGGGGTCAGGGTCCAAAAACACACAAGGGATTTGCCACATTTCTGAAATTCGGTGCCACCCCTCACGCAGATCCGCGGGGTCAGGGTTCAAAACCAATGGAATTTTTGTCATTTCCGAACTTATGCAACTTCAAGAATCCAAAACTCCGTTCCCAGCGCCGTTCCGGAGGCCGCGGTACCTCGTTATTTATCGAGCGAACGCGTTTACCTCGTTTTTTATAGTTTAAAGTCGATGTCGGAAACATGATGGACCCACGAACCCGGAAAGGGATATAGACATGTGCAGCATGGTCACGTTTTCACGATATCCAACTGG